ACCACAGATAGTTAGACAAATGATAGAATTACATTCATCTATACCTGCAAAATTGAAATGCACATCACACTCAGCACTAAAATCGAACTTTGGGCCACATGAGTGCAAAGCAGGTAATTATTGCACCACATCGCCACCACATAAAGACGAGCTTTTCTTGCAGGATTATATTTCTACCAAAAGTTCGCAAACCGTTGGCGCAAAATTTACTTCCTTTTTTGTGCCATATGCATTTTTGTGCGTGCATTCAATCAGGGAATAGTTTGTAGGGCTTAATAGAGTCGAGACAACCACGGTGAGCGCTTTCGGCTTCAACTTAGGTTTGTGGTGCACCGTTCTGCAAGAATGAATAACGTGTGTTTGTGCGTCGTTTTAGCGCTTCTACGTAAACTGTGGGTGTTCCGCTCACATTTATGTTGCGAGGTACACGCATGTCAGTGATACATTCTCAGCTGTTTGAAGGCAATGCGCCTTTTAACGTTAAATTTACATGAGTATTTAGCGTGCTGCTCTAATCTTTGTATTTGGTGCACCAGAACTGCCACAAGCTGCACACTAGGGCAGCAGCGCCTTTTTAGCATTTGGACGATTATTTATTTCTATAATTAGCATTTATGCGCAGTATTTCGCGATATACAGTGTATTCTACACATTTTCAGTCCTTAACTGACCTTATATAAGGTGACTAGCTACGCTCATCGTAATTCAGCATCACGCCACTGCTCAAGTGAATGCCAAAACGCGTGCCAAGGTTAAGTATGACGTCCACAAATTCGCAATGGGCAGGTAGGTCTCCCTACAAATAAATAATGCTTCTGCACATCTCTTTCACAAACGTATACACGCGTGCCGTTGGGGTCAAGAGATGATGCAGAACGAACCTGAAATTCTTTATTGTTACTGTATACAGTTTTTTTTTTGCTTTAGAAAATGGTATTTTTAATACGTGGTACAATATCTCCACAGCAGTACACTGGTTGGCTTCATCATGATTAAGTATTACAAATCTATGCCGGAACATAAAAACTGTAGTTAATATTAAAAAAAGTGAGCGAATGTCGGTGGTATACGTTCTCCTACTGACTTCTGCACCTGTGCTTTATGTCGATAATCATCGTAAAATTACGCAATCACTACAAAAAAAAACGTCAACCCACTGGTTTTTAATAGTGATCATTCTCTTTTTCAATGCCTTCCGTTTATTTCTTTTTTGCAATGTGTTCTAAAAATCATCTGTTTAGTTTTTAGAACACGAGCATCAACAAACATAGGCTAGTGTTTCAGCAAGCTGTTGCGCGTGCACCAGTACTTTTTTTCTGTAGTGCATCAAAAATGTTATACATCGACAACTGATAAAAGGAAAGTTGTTTGTAGTCTTTTACTGAAATCAAACGAGTAACACTAGCACTGCCCATCCCAGTGCTTGCCCAAATGCAGGGAGATGTAGGATATCTTGAATAAAATGTGCCGTAAGGCTCTGGAAAAGGCTCCCGCCCTAGACCATCTTGTACAAAATCAGGTAAGCCAATGACTCTGGCTGCTTGAATTGTCTTCCTGGAAAAGAAATATCAGAACAAAGAAGTCCATTAGGCTTTCAGCACTCATCAAATTGAATGTTTTACTGAGAACCCTAGCTAGACTTCTTTTACAACAAACTTTCTTTTTTCAAAAACAGAAAATAAAATGAAAAATTTTGTTGTTGCATGCACAGCTTTCAAGATGAGTTTTGCACTTAGTGGGTGAAGCGTAAGCTGCCATTCTTGTAATACTTAGAAAAACATGGCAAAGAACAACCACTGCAGGTTAGCCAGTTTATGTTTTTTTCCTTATCACGTCTTAACTCAGAGGAAAAAAAAACACGGAATGATGGCTAGAGTGCACTGCTCACCATTTCTTTACGAAAGTTGTTCTTGTAAGAAAAATAATTCATTGATTCTCAGAACGTTCTACAACTTCTGCCAAATAAGTTAAACCTGGAACTAGATGATACAAAACGGATATGTTTGACCTATGAGCCATAACAAAGTTGAGAGTTTTGATTCGTTACTGGGCATTTATATCAAACTCTGCTAATTCAATAACAGAAGCTAACTCTTACTTTTAGTATTTCACTCTTTTCTGGCTGAACCTATGAAGGTGCACTTAAAACCTGCTTGTGATTCACATGCCACCTTGCTTCTGCCAGTTGTGAAATGAGTTGATCCTGAATAACACTTTTATTCTGACTGATATTTGATATAACCTTAATTATCCCTTTGCCAGAACTCACGGGTCATACATTCAACATAGCTCATTAAGTGTACATAAATTTATGAATTTAGCTATCAGAGATACGCATATCACAGGATCCATGTAGCTAATCTTATCAACTGTTTGCCCTTTTAAGCACGTTTACTTGCTTGGCACTACCCAGTTCAAGGACTATGAGCAAACGAAAAACAAGCACTGACTTTCAACTGAAAAGTTTATTAAAAGTACACCCGAAAATACAATTTTTTAATATATTCTCATAGGGTACAGAAACCAACTCATGACGGCACTTTCCAACCAAAAGAGTCGTCCTTAGTTGTTTTTTTGCCTCGTAAAAACATGTGCAGATAATGGCATTTTAAGCTGTTCATTCAATGAATTTTTTAGTTGGTCACATGTGCACAGCTGTGCGGCGGTGAAACAAGAACGCTCAGAATATCTCACTTCTGTATCCCCTCTAGAAGCTGGGAAATGGGGGCGCACGGTTACGTTACACGTTAATAGTGAGCACAAGACAACACTAACGATAAACACAAACAAGCTGAGTATGAGAGAATGAAAAGAAACTTCGGCTTACTGCACATGTGGCCAAATGACGGCGCGACAAACTAGGCCTTTCGCTTCAGTATTTATTTCCTGAAAGCAAGTCGCCGCATGCGTGCTTTATTGCGACCAATCATATCGCGCAAAGCACCCCCAACACAGCGCGCTCTTGTGTCGATTAACTAGACGTATGAATCATATAAACAATGCCCTCAAAGTAATTTTCACACACGCGTGAGGCATCTCACAACGTTGCTATATATGGGCGCCTATTGACCTTCTTTTTGGCTTCTTATTGGACTTCCCCCATGACGCACAGTGCAGAACAACACAAGCACCGCAAGCGCCAGATCGACGATCACACTGAAAACAGATTTACTTACTCACCATTCTAATTTTGGACTGTGCCAAGCAAGCAGCGTGTGCATGATCTTATCACTGTGATTCTCACTCGAGGCCCGAGACCACTACGAAACGAACGTGCTAGCCCTATTTGCGGCGAGATCGGACCATAGGTGGCAGCACAGTTCGCGCGAAAGTGTGGATAGGCGGTCGGTGGCGCATATACAAATACAAGCAGCGGCGCTTCATTGCGTGCGGTCTGAGCCAATTGTCGGTGGATTAATTGCGGTGACTACAGCTTACTGTTAATATCTACGTTCCTCTCTACTGAATCGCTGCACTACGCTTATGTAATGTTCACATTACCCGCGATAAAGCGCATTCTGCCTTTCATAGGGATACTCGTACTGGATGACTCTCTTCGCGCTTTCGCACTAAATCAAGCCTTTGCTATTTTTGTTCGTGGTTAGCTTCTGTTCCGCCTGCTACGCACTGCTGTAGCATGACTGAACTACTTATTTACCTCTTTGCCACTGCGACAGCTGTAGAGCTCTCCCACTCTCATCCCCCTCCCGGCGCACTTGCACCCACCGCACTTCCGTCTTACAAAATAAAAAAGAAGAAACTTTTTATTTGACATGGCACCGCTTTTAACACGCATATATTCAATCCTCCCGATCTGCTCAGCCACTTGAAATCAGTCCTGGTTATTTTCTTTTCGCTGGTCTTTCTACAAGCAGGTTTTTATTTAGTACGTGGGAGCTCCCCGCCTCTATGAAATTGGTTATCGGGTACCTGCCTGAGAATGGACTGCTCTCAGGCATCCAGACACAACAGTATGCGATAGTCAAGCAATCTTGCTGTCACATATTGCTCCTACAGGTAAATTTTTGCATGATTCTTGGCCCAGTATTACTTGCACGGAAGCTTCAAGTTGCACCACTGCAAAGTATCAGTAGCTTGCACGTGACGTCACGTACGCCCAGTATGGATACAACATGGTGCTTTCAATGACGTCAAGCTGGTATAATGACACGAAGATTAACATGCTTAAGTGTGATAACGACGTTTCCAGAACGTTATTGGACATCTGTGCATGAATAACGAAGGAGCCGGCATGCGCTGCACTCACAACACTAACGCGGCATCCCAAAGTTCGTCTCCCATGATGTTGGTGCTCCAACGTGGCTGCTGCGGTAAGGTCAGTGCAAGCCGTCCAATAATGTCGCGGTGTGAGGTTATTTGCGTCGCTGTTCCTCATCCAAACTTCATCTATTCTCTCACAACAAACGCTGAGGTACAAGAAGAAGAAAAACCTAATAATGCAAATAAAAAGGCAGATGGAAACGAAAGAGTCCTGTTATACGCCTACAACAGAATATACATCCTATCGGCTTGTCCGCTAAGACTAAGAGCATTTGGAAACATGTAATCACGAGGCAGTGGATGCGAGTACTTTCAAACGAGTTCTGACAAGTCCATAACCACGCTCTTCCTACAAGCTATTTGCAATGCCTCTGCATTTCTATATGCTGCTTCAGCTCTTGACATATTCGCATTTCATTTAAATCATTAGAACGTGCCTCATATGGCAAGATTTATTAGTCATTACCGAACATCTGCAGTTCTATTACTTGTAACTGGTAAATATGCGGTCAGTGAAAAAACAGCACGAGTACCTAGGGTAGGTTGCACAATTTCTAGTTATATGCGTGCTCTTGTTTTTGCGTGCACTCCTGAGTTTAATTTTAAAAAGCGAAAGACAGCACGATATGCAAGAAGCTGCACGCATGTTCCATGCTTTAAACTCGCATGCTCAGCAAAGTACCGATATATATATATATATATATATATATATATATATATATATATATATATATATATATATATATATTGGTCGATAGGCTCATTGGAGTGCCCACCCCACGGAAATCTTTAGTAAAAGGCGAAAAACTAATACGAAAAACCGGAGGTGAGGGCCTGAGCAATATATATATTGTGAAGAAGAAGATGTGCCTGCAGCAAGCAGCATCGACAACGCCCGGCTCTCTTGGCTCGTGCTTCGGTTCGTTGCTGTGCCGATCGCTGGACGGTTCTTCACGCTGTCCGGTCGCTGTCTTTAACGGCTAATAAACCTCCTCACATTTGGTGGAAGGTGCTGTTAATCCCCGTTGCTACACCCTGGAGCTGCGAAGCCGCACGCTACCGCCTGTCATGACTGACAACGCCACTACATCGACGCCTTCGCCCCAGTTCAACTGCCCTGGCAATCCTAGGCTACGGGAGCCGAAGGTCTTCAGCGGTGCGGATGGGACCGACGTCGAAGACTGGCTGGAGCACTACGAACTGGTGAGCGCCAACAATAAGTGGGATGAAGCCGACAAGCTGGGCCACGTCATACTTTATCTCACTGGCGTCGCCGAATTGTGGTTTAATAACCACAAACACAACATCCCCTCATGGAGCGTCTTCAAGGCGTCATGTGCTGAAGTGTTCGGTCGGCCGGCTACTGCGACCACCCAAAATCACTGTCGACCCTCGAGGAGTCGCCGAAGGATACGTTTTCCAGCGCTATCGCCGACACCCTCACTCCCACCGAACATGCCGACCTGCTTGATCTTCTGCATGAGTTCCGGAATTCTTTCGATGTGTCCCAACCTCAACTAGGCCGCACGTCGCCAGTCAAGCATCATGTTGACACCGGCCTACACCAGCCACTGCGTCAAAGACCATACCGTGTCTCCACTAAAGAGCGCCGCGTCATCAACGATCAAGTCGAAGATATGCTTCGTAGAGACGTCATTCGACCATCTCACAGTCCCTGGGCGTGTCCTGTCGTCCTGGTGCGTAAGAAAGACGGATCTATCCGATTTTGCGTTGACTGTCGTCGTTTGAATAAGATAACCCGCAAGGACGTATATCCTTTGCCGCGCATTGATGACGCCATTGACACCCTTCACGGAGCGGAATTCTTCTCGTCGTTAGATTTGCGGTCTGGCTACTGGCAAGTTCCAATGGCTGGAGCCGATCGCCAAAAAACTGCATTTAATAAACCTGACGGCCTATACGAGTTTAACGTCATGCCCTTTGGGCTTTGTAACGCGCCCGCCACGTTTGAACGACTTATGGATAGTACGCTACGTGGCCTCAAGTGGAATATGTGCCTCTGCTACCTCGCCGATGTCGTGGTTTTCTCGCACGACTTTCCTACGCCCCTCCTTCGGCTCAGGCACGTTTTGACTTGTCTGACCAACGCTGGCCTGCAGTTTAACCTGAAAAAATGCCGCTTCGCTGCACGCGAGCTCGTCATCCTAGGCCACATCGTGTAGAAGCACGGCGTATTACCTGACCCAGCAAAACTTCGAGAAGTCGCAGAATTTCCCAAGCCGACAACCATGAAGGAACTTCGCAGTTTTGTAGGCCTATGCTCATATTTCCGGCGCTTTGTTCGCAATTTTGCATCCATCATGTCACCTTTAACCCATCTTCTTCGCGGTGACGTGAACCTCTCCTCCTGGTCCCCTGCATGTGACGTTGCCTTCACCACTTTGCGCCGTCTGCTCACCTCCCCACCTATTCTTCGCCACTTCGACCCGACGACTCCTACCGAAGTGCACACTGACGCCAGCGGAGTCGGGCTAGGGGGTGTCCTCGCTCAACGAAAACCCGGCTATTCAGAATACGTTGTAGCCTACGCTAGCCGCACTCTGACGAAAGCCGAAACTAATTACAGCGTGACAAAAAAAGAGTGTTTGGCTCTGGTGTGGGCGCTTGGAAAGTTCCGGCCGTACTTATACGGCCGCCCGTTCGATCTAATAACTGATCACCACGCGCTTTGCTGGCTCTCCACGCTGAAAGACCCTTCTGGCCGCCTTGCGCAATGGGAACTCCGCATCCAGGAGTACGACATTCGCGTCGTATACCGCTGCGGACGCAAACACTCTGACGCTGACGCCCTGTCCCGCTCACCTTTGCCACCAGATCCGACGTGCGGAAACACATGCCTCCAGATCTTGTCGTCGTTAAATCTTGACTCAATTGCCACCGAACAACGTCGTGACCCGTTGATCGCATCTCTTCTCGAGTATCTATCCGGTACGCTCAACCTTCCGGTATCTCGATCCCTCCGACGTCAAGCCTTCCATTTTGCCATCCGCGATCAACTTCTCCATCGACGCAACTACTCTCCTGATGGCCGCCGGTGGCTACTGGTCATTCCACGCACTTTACGATCGCAGGTATGCGGCTCTCTTCACGACGATCCACATTGTGGCCACGCCGGGGTGTTCAAAACATATGAACGCCTTCGTCATTGCTATTACTGGCACGGCATGTACAATTTTGAACGCTAATTTGTGATTGTGCTGTCCTGACTGCCAGCGGCGCAAATCAACACCGCTACGTGCGACTGGCGAATTGCAGCCAGTTCCGTGCCCTGCCAAGCCATTTGATCGCGTTAGCGTTGACCTCTACGGCCCCCTTCCATTGACACCAGATGGCAATCGGTGGATTATAATGGTGGTCGACCATCTAACATGCTACGCCGAAACGGCCGCTTTACCGAGCGCTACCGCTCAGGATGTCACCTCTTTCATTTTACGTCAATTTATCCTTCGACATGGCGCACCTCGAGAGCTCCTTAGTGACAGAGGCCGCACTTTCCTCTCCGAGGTCGTCGAAGCTCTGCTTTCGGAATGCCCCGTCATTCATCGGAAAACGACAGCATACCACCCGCAGACTAATGGGCTAACGCAACGGTTTAACCGCACGCTGGGTGATATGCTCTCAATGTACGTGGCATCTAATCATAGCAACTGGGACCGTGTTCTCCCATACGTCACATTCGCATACAATACTGCGATACAAACAACCACGCGATTTTTACCTTTCTTCCTTCTTTATGGACGTGACCCTTCCCATACAATTGATACTCTGCTTCCCTACCGTACTGATGCTTCCGAATGTCCACCTATCTCCGATGCTGCTCGACAAGCCGAAGAGTGCCGCCAGCTCGCCCATGCATTCACCTCGGACGAGCAGCAACGCCAGAAAGAAAACCGTTGCACCTCTCTTCCGGATCCCAGCTATGCCCCAGGGTCTCTCGTGTGGCTTGCCATCTCATACCAAACTCCCGGACTCTCATCAAAACTTGTCCCCCTGGTACGAGGGGTCTTACATCGTTTTAGAGAAAACCTCTCCAGTTAATTACCTAATTGAGCCAGTTTCCCGATCAGGTGACATGCGCCGGCGTGCACGTGACATCGTCCATGTTTCCCGCCTAAAACCGTATCATGAGCCTCTCCCTGAAACTTCTTAGGTCGCCAGGATGGCTCCTTTTTCAGCGGGGGTGATTGTGAAGAAGATGTGCCTGCAGCAAGCAGCATCGACAACGCCCGGCTCTCTCGGCTCGTGCTTCGGTTCGTTGCTGTGCCGATCGCTGGACGGTTCTTCACGCTGTCCGGTCGCTGTCTTTAACGGCTAATAAACCTCCTCACAATATATATATGGCCAATAAGTGCCGTTTTTCACTTGAAACCAAAGTTTTATGTTGAACTTATTCGGGTTTATGTTATGCCATTTCATATGACATCTTGATGCGCAAATTCAGTCATATACGTTTACTTCCGCTGCCTCTTGATCAATTTCAGATCTTTACTTTACTTCCGGTTACAGCTTAGAAAGAAGCATGGCCTACCCAAATAGGCCGTGAAAATCTGGGCAAAAAATGGTTTAGAAGCTATTGCCAGTGACATCAGCATGAAGAGTTATGGGAGCTGCGATTGAAGCGCTTATCTGTGCGAAGAGAACAAACACAAATAGTGAAAAACGAAGTTTCAATCAATGTCAAAGCAATCATCATGTTTTACAAATGGCATGTGTGTCTCCCAACAATATTATATTGGTGTAATGAGCAAAGAATTTATGGCAGTTTTTATTATTACGAAAAATGTTTTTTCTGGCGCCCTCTGCCTACGCTTTGAATACTCAGCGCAACGCTTGCATTGAATGGAAAGGCGCGCTTGCAAAATTCATCCAGAGGACGGAAACTCCCTAGACCACCCATGTATACGCTCTCTTGCATGCTGATACGAAGCGGCTACGCCAATTTTACCATTGGCGGCTGCCGGGCATCCAAGCAGAAATAAAGCACGAACCGAACATTTCTTACATGACGTCCCTGGTGGGGTCACCAATAGAGGGAAGGGGCGAAAATTTGAGAGGAGGAGGGCTGCCGCGGAAGCCCTTCTTTCCTACTTCGCATGCAAGTGGAATACGCTCGTGCCTTCTATCAGGTCCGCTGGCCGCTTGGGCGATGCGGCCATTCGTAAAATTTTGTAACCTTTTTTTAATTTTTTAAATTTTGTTTGTGTGTTCTGAAGTGGCGAAAGTTCAGCGCACCGATTCTTCAATAAAACGAAACTTGATATGCAGAAATAAAATGTGCTTTTTTATATCACGGTTTGCCTAAAAACACGGACATACACGTAGTGTGAAAGTGTCAATCTATATTAGCAGCTTTCATTTACAACTGTCTTATGGACATAATAAGCAAGCCTTGAATCCACAATGTTCGAACCAATGCAAAGATTCTCAACAATCACGAATAGGACACCTCGTATTTGACTCAATCAGGTTTGTTATGACGGCGCACATAGTTTTCTTACAGAACTTGGACACCAAATTAGACTGAAGATCAAAGACACGGTGAGGCTTAGCCATCAGAAAATTTACAAAAAAGGACGTCGATGGAAACAGTATTTCGGTAAGTTGACTTGTCCTCGTCAGGGGCCACAGTGTTGCCTTGACGAATAAAAGTTCACTTGTCAAAACGTTGGCTTCAGCGACATTCCCTGTCACGATTTCTATAGGCATGTAGCACATCACATGCGTTTGAGTGACAGTATTAAAAATAAATATTCACAAAATTTCAAACCGTGGCTACATAAATTATATGAACAGAAATGAGCTTATATTTACTTGACATCAT